CCTCTGGGACAGAAATCTGTTAAACTAAATATATTTTTATTTTATTTATTTAAAATTTTGTATTTAATGTTTATTATTTTTGAGAGCGCACGAGTGAGAGCGAGCGCTTGAGCGGGGGAGGGGGAGAGAGAGGGAGACACAGAATTCAAAGCAGGCTCCAGGCTCTGAGCTATCAGCACAGAGCAGGGCTTGATCCCATGAACCGTGAGCTCATGACCTGAATCGAAGTTGGAAGCTTAACCGACTGAGCCACCCAGGCGCCCCTGTCAAACTAAATTTAAATGGTGTGTTTTGACCAGAGAGAGATCATTAAGTTGTGTTACCACCATCTAGTGAAAAATTGGTTATCATGGGGTTTACCAAGATCCAAAGAACAAAAACTTCATTTTGACAACCTTATTTAGAACTGTTAGTCACTTCCTAGAAAAAAAGTAGTCCCTGTGCAGAACTGGGTGACCATAAGTTATTTACCACATGGTGAATCTCCTATTCCTGCTAGCAGTTGTTTGTCTAACTTAGAAATCAAACAACAGTGCCCATCTCTGTTTTGCCTAAGTACCTGCCAGGTATCATTCTACATATGTTCACATTTCATTGTAAAACCATGTTAGTCTTGTGTTATGTTTTTTTAAAGAAATAATTTTTTAATGTTTATTTATTTTTGAGAGAGAGAGAGAGAGACCGACAGAGCTTGAGTAGGGGAGGGGCAGAGAGAGAGGGAGACACAGAATCTGAAGCACACTCCAGGCTCTGAGCTGTCAGCACAGAGCCCAATACAGAGCTCAAAGTCCCAGGCAATGAGATCATGACCTGAGCTGAAGTTCGATGCTTAACTGACTGAGTCACCCAAGTGCCCCAGTCCTGTGTTATTAATGAGGAAATGAGCCTAGAGGGGTTCGGTAATGTTTCCAAACATAAAGCTATTAAGCGGCAGAGCACAGACTCCGGTCTAGGTCTAACTTTAGTGCCAGTGCTTTGTGTGACTGCACTCTGCTCTTGTGCTCATTTCTCCCAGCTTTCAAAGCTCATAGTGACCTTTCAGATTTGTGAAGGTGTCAGGTTCGTCCCCACCTGAGGCTCTTTGATCAGGCTGCTTCCTGTCCCTGGAATGCTTTTGTCCTTCCCTTATGTTTCAGCTAAAATGTTACCTTTTCAGAGACACTTCCCTCTTTATTTAGAAGGGTTCACCCACCCAATCCCTCTCTAAAATATATTAATTTGTTTTTCTCTGTATACCAGCTTTCATCATCTGAAATCTTTTTGTGTATTTTCTCTCTAGTCTGCCACTCCCAACTGGCGTGTAAACTCAATGAAGACAGGGACCTTTTCTTGTTTTTCATTGTGTCCTTAGCATTTGGACACATAGTAGTGGCATTCTATAGAATATGGTTGAACGTTTGAGTACTAACTGTTCATGTATTACTGATCTTTTTATATTCTCTAATGTAGATACTGGCATACTTATCTGGAAAGGGCCAGCTAGTATTTTATACAGTATGGGCTATATGGTCTCTGTCACAGTTAATCAACTTTGCCATTGTCATGTAAACGCAGCAATAGTTAATATATAAACAGATGTCCACACTGGCACTTTTACTTTTTGCTGTGGAAATCAGCTGCCTGGTTTAAATTATACTTGGGTTTATTCCTGTTCTTTTGCAAGGCCAGCATTTAGGTTTTGGAGTCTTCTATCCTCAGAAGGTATTAACACTCTTACCAGGACTTTGTAGTGATTGATTCTCACCTCTTTTCTTTACTCCTCATTTCTTAACTCATTTCCTCTGAGATCCAAAATGTCATTACTTTGTTTCATTAAATCTCAAGTGGTTAGAGTCCTAATCAAGTCCCTTACCTTTTATTAGCAAGATCATAACTGAGATTAGTAGCCTAAGCAGTAATTAATTATAAATTCCCTGTTGTTGGAAATTTTTAATTATTTAATGCTTGAAGCTCTATTCATCTTTGTGCTTCTGTGTACAGTACCACTTTACTGAATTATTAGAGGTGGGTTTGCTTTAATAATGTTTTATTTCTTTCCTTTTTCCTCTCTAGTAATAATTATATAAAGTTTTAAAAATTATCTTGAAGTTTCCAAGTAATCTAAAGAGCATATATACCTGATTTTTACATAATTGTATATTTTGATTTTGCAGATGAGCAGGATGAAGAAACAGTCACAACAGGAGGAAAGGTAACAATTTAATTACGCCTGGTGCAAAAGTAGCTATCTAAGGGTTCAATGTATGGAGCAGTAGAAACACTGATTGAAAGTGCCTTAGAAATACTCAATTTTGAGGCCCTTCTAATTTTTTGTTTTCAACCCATCTCTGAAATAATTTGTCTTTCTCAACTCCTAAGATTTTTTAAAAGCAAATTTCTATCTTCTCATGTAGTGTCTCTCCTATGCTAATTTCCGATTCCATTATAGCTCTGGTTGCAAGGTGGTAATCAGAGCTGAATGCAGTGTTCCAGGTGTTATCCGATGGTACGGGTGAGCAGGGACCATACCTTGCCTTGATTTTCTCCCTTCCATTTATATCAGTACAATTTCAGTCCACAGCCAGTACAGCTTTTGATCATGCTCTTAACCTTTTTGAAGCTATTACAGTCAGCTGCTTCCTGTTTGATCAGTTCTACGGTGGAGACATATCAATAATTATGCTGTTGAAAGGTGTTGGATTTAAGGCAGGATTTTACTTTTCTTTTTAGTAGATGGCCCATTGTTCATTCAAACTGTCGTTTGTGTTATTAATAAGCGTAACTAATCCCTAATCTCTCTGAAATAACTTTCTTCCTTTGCTGAAAATGGATAGTTCTTTTTCATTGAGTCAGAGAAATCCCCCAAATTGACATTTATTGTTTTTATACATTCAAGGAATGAACGTATTTATGACAGGATTGCCCTGAAAAGTATTTCAAGAAACTCCTCTATGTAAGGCTCTTCATCTGAATTGTCCTTATGATTTTAATTTTTTTTTTTTAAGATTTTAATTTTAAGTTATCCCTTATCCAGTGTGGGCCTTGAACTCATAACCCTGACATCAAGAGTTGCATGTTACACTGACTGAGCTAGCCAGGCACCTCTATGATTTTCTTTTTTAAATCAGACTTCTTCAGTTAACCAACTACTTAAAATCATTAACAAATGTTACATTTATAAAAATATGTCATCATTTTGTGTAAATACTCTTATGTGGTAGTGAAAGAGACCCAAATAAAAAGCCAAACAATTGGGCATAGGAGATTTTGTTTATGCCAGGGGCAGGGGACATTTTGAAACCAAGGCTAAGTCTGTTGTATAATTGAACCCAAAACTTGTTAGACGTATTTACTGTAACACCTCGTCCCATGATGCCATCCCGTGTATTTCCTTACTCAGATAATTAAACCATAGACTGTTGGCCTTTATTTATTTATTTTTTTTATCAAGAAAAAAGTTTTTTTTTTAAATCTTTATTCACCTTTGAGAGACAGACAGAGCATGAGCTGGGGAGGGGCAGAGAGAGAAGGGGACACAGAATCCGAAGCAGGCTCCAGGGTCTGAGCACTCAGCACAGAGCCCAGTGCGGGGCTTGAATCCACGAGCCGTGAGATTATGACCTGAGCTGAAGTTGGACGCTCAACCGACCGAGCCACCCAGGGGAGGGGCAGAGAGAGAGAGGGACAGAATCTGAAGCAGGCTCCAGGCTCCAGGCTCCAGGCTCCGAGCTGTCAGCACAGAGCCTGACACAGGGCTTGAACTCATGAATGGTGAGATCATGACCTGAGCCCAAGTCGGAGGCTTAACTGACTGAGCCACCCCGGTGCATCCTCTTGGCCTTTATTAATTGCAGTGCCATTCTCTCCTGAATAAAGGATATATTTTGTGTTCTAATTGAGTTTGTGAAACCTTCATTTCAAAACCACTTTAACCATGTGCATATTTTTTACTAGCTCCCCTGATTTGGGAAATAACATTTTTTACTTTTGTCATCAATATTAGCATACTTGTTTCACCATCATTTAAGTAACAACCAGAGTTCCTTGGGACTTTCAAACATTACGTTTTTTCTATACTCATTGATCTTAAGGAAATTACTGTCTTAAGTTTCTAGGCAGTAATACTAGATCCTCACTTCAAATAATGCCGCACAGATATTTACACTGAATGAAGTTAAAGATAGAAATTAAAGTGTAGAACTGGTTTTTAATATGAAAGAATTTCATAAGAATAAAAACAGTAAAAACACAGATGAAAGGTTGTAGATTTAACTGTACAAAATTGGAAAACATCTGAGTGTCAAAAAACTTCCTGTAATATTTTTGATAAAAATGTTTAATTGCAAGTTAATTATGAAGAATCAATAAGATAAATAGAAATTGTTAAACATTGTACAAGTTGTGTGGTCTGGAGTTTTAAAACCTTTGAATTTCATTAAATACACCCCCAGAGGGAGGCAGGGATTAAAGGTAACTGAAGAGATGCAAATGTGACTTAATACGGATTTCTTGATTAGGTTCTGATTTGGGAACAAAAATGTATAAAGGGCATTTTTGGGTTAATTGGAACCATTTGAATACAAACTTTGTATTACATGATATTATTTAGAAGTAATTATTACTATTTTTTTTTGGAAGCATAAGAAATGTTCTTGTATTTTGACCCACAGCAGTGATTTTTAAATTATTGTATTAGCCAGGCCAGGTTTTCAGGTGGAATCATTAGTTAAAACCTCTTTAAATTGGATAAAAATCAAAGCTGACTTTTGTTAGTGAAAATGATTAAGAGTGTAGGCCCTCTATCCGGGATTTCTGGAATTCTACCTACCCTGTTTATTTTTATTTTTTTAATTTTATTTATTTTTTTTTATCTTTACTTATTTTTGAGAGAGAGACAGAGTGTGAGCAGGGGAGCAGCAGAGAGAGAGGGAGACACAGAATCCGAAGCAGGCTCCAGGCCCCGAGCTGTCAGCACAGAGCCCGATGTGGGGCTTGAACTCACGAACCGTGAGATCATGACCTGAGCCGAAGTCGGATGCTCAACCGACTGAGCCACTCAGGCACTCCTGCCCTGTTTATAACTTAATAGCTCTGTGCGTCATTTTCTCACCCACAAAAGTAGTAGTAATCGCTGCTGTTACTGTGAGGAATGAATAAGGTGCATGTAGCTGCTAGCAGATACTTACTGATGAATCTTTGGGATAGGGGAAAGCTTGTCATTATGCCTCATTAGGGTCTTTGAGTCACCTCCTTATAAATCACTTGAGAGCTAGATATGTGACCCCAGGATTAGATAAAACTGGACAAGCAAGAAGCAAGCTATTGTGAGAAAAGTTTTGAGTCTTCTCTGAGTTGATTCCCTCATCTGTAAAAGCAAGGAATAAAATCTGTTGTGTCATCTGGGAATCTTGTGAAGGTACCTTAAAACTGTGAAGGGTTGTTTTTATTTGAAATTTGTTTTTCTAATCCTTGAAATTGGATCAACTGGCCTCATTTTATGCCCTAATATCAGAAGTTTGAAAGCTGTTACATATCTCTCTGTAGTTCTCTGTTTCTCTCAACTCTGGCTTCTTTCCTATAGGAAGACGAAGATCCTAGCAAAGGTGATCAGAGTCGTTCACTTGACCCAGGAGAAGATAATGTGACAGAGCAGACCAATCACATTATTATTCCTAGTTATGCATCATGGTTTGATTATAACTGGTGAGTGGGCCATGTATACCTATGAATAAGATACTTAGGTGTGGGAGAACTTCTTGAAGTTATCTTCTGCCTTTCTGCCCAAGTCCCTCTTGTCACTAATCATTGTCAGATGGATGAAGGAAGATGGAAAGTGATTTTAACTTTGGAATGTGTTCTTTTTTTTTCTTTCTTAAGTTTATTTATTTATTGAGAGAGAGAGAGAGAGAGAGACAGACTTTGTGCATGCGAATGGGGGCGGGTCAGAGAGCGAGGGAGTGAGTGAGAATCCCAAGCAGGTTCCACACTGTCAGAGTCTGAATCTGGGCTTGAACCCATGAACCGTTATGTATGATAACTTGAGCTGAAACCAAGAGTCGGACGCTTAACTGACTGAGCCACTCAGGCTCCCCTGGAATGTGTTCTTTAAAGCAGTTTAGGGATGGAAACTAAGTTGTGTTGTAACTTGGGGGTGTAAAATTTTGTAAGCTTAGACTTAATTCATTTAGAATCAGTTATGATTCAGATGGGCAAATAGTTAAATATTTAATAATTATAAAATATTGGCATTACATGATTTTGAAACACTAGGGGTGCCTGGTTGGCCCAGTCGGTAGAGCCTGCAACTCTTGATCTCGGGGTTGTAAGTTCAATCCCCATGTTGGGCATAGAGATTACTTAAAAATAAAATCTTTAGGGGCGCCTGGGTGGCTCAGTCGGTTAAGCGTCCGACTTCAGCCAGGTCACGATCTCGCGGTCCGTGAGTTCGAGCCCCGCGTCGGGCTCTGGGCTGATGGCTTGGAGCCTGGAGCCTGTTTCAGATTCTGTGTCTCCCTCTCTCTGTGACCCTCCCCCGTTCATGCTCTGTCTCTCTCTGTCTCAAAAATAAATAAACGTTAAAAAAAAAAAATTTTTTTTAAAAAATAAAATCTTTAGTAATGGCTTCATTTTAATATGATTTTTTTTTTTTTTGTGAGTGTGCTCTAATAACCAATGTGGGGCTTGAACTGATGACCCTGAGATGAAGAGTCACATGCTGTACCGACTGAACAAGCCAGGTGCCCCAGTAGGAAATATTTTTAACATTAGGCTTTTCATGTATAAACATTTCAAGAAAACACTCTCCTCAGCATCTTCCCTGTTACTTTTACCAAAACCGTTTGACATCATTGGAGTGTGGTTGGAAATAACTAGTCCTAGATATTTTATTTATTGATTACTTATGAAGTGTGACTGTTTCATGTCAGGCTGATTTTTATCTGGCTTTTTATTTTTTAATTTATGTTCCAGAACTTACCCCTCCAAATAGTTAGCTTCTTTAAGGTATTTTCATTGGAAAGTTATATATATATAACTTATGCTTAAGTGATGGATGGTGCCCTTTCTCAGAATCTTGTGGTCTTACTTGGATCTGTTGCCTGCTCTCAATAATTATACATTATCATTTTTTAAGGATAGGTGTGATTTTATGTATGTGTGTCTTTGTACATGGCATTTAGACATATATACATCTTTAGAAGCCAATTTAAAAGGGTAGATGATCCATTTGGAGCTATATTTTTTTCCAAAACCACAAAATATGACTCTAATATTGAGACTTCTCTGCATGCCTTTAACATTTCTGAATGCAGTTCCTAAATGTTTTGAATAAATAGAAGCTGGAACAGAATAAGTATATAGCTCTTCTTTGAAGGTCAATCTTCATTACATTGATTGTGTTAAATTATTTTTATATTTGGAAGTGTCTCAGTATCAGTGTTATTAATTATAATTACATGTTCAGGTTCAGAACAGTTGAAAAGGACACACTTGAGGAAACTAGTGTTCTTTTCCTCTAAAATGAAAAAAATCTTAATACTACATAACTTGGTAAGTTTTTATAGGTTACAGAAACACTCCTTTGCATCATAACCATTGTGTGTCATAAAGCTTGCTCTAGTGGATAGTGGAGGTGTGTGTCACACCCCTGTTTTGTAGATAAAGGTAAATACTGTGTCCGTGTAAGCGCTCAGAGTCACATTTGACAATTGGGAGAACTCAGATTTTCTGATTCTGAATACCCCACTTCCTTACTCATTTTCAGAACCTAAGCAATTAGCTGCCTGCACGTAAGGAAAAGAAAGTTCTTTGGATTAAGCATTCATGTGTGTTTTGTTCTTGGTGAATATAGAAATTGTATTGTTTTGTGGGCCTTTCCTAACCTGTAACAATAAAACAATGAGAGGTATATTAGAACTATATAATTAATTGCTTACAGCTATTCTCTTCATAGTAAAACTTGGAAAGTTATTACACATACGTATATAGCATTAATTTGTCTTAGGGATTATCTTCCTAGACGTTTCCAGGTAATTCATTGTATTTATAGTATTTGGCAGTACAGATCCAGTTCAAACAATTTATATGTTCCCAAATAATGCAAGAATGAATGGTTTTTAAGTAAACTCAATGTGGGGTTCAAACTCATGACCCAACGTCAAGAGTCACATGCTCTACAACTGAACCAGCCAAACGATGCTTTTAGTTATATTCACAGATTACTGATTTGCTCTTCTCTGTGTAACCAGTACATGTTGCATATCTGGAAAGCCACTGAGAAACTAGAAAGTGTCATTAGTAAAAACATTGATTTGTAGTAGTGTCAAAACCTTTGTACTAGATACACAGGTGGGTCATTTGTATAGTTCATGAGGCCTGATTTTTACATGGTCTCTATAGTGCTTTCATCTGTAACATTTTGCAAAATTATCAGGGCCTTTGCCTAAATAGTAAAAATTGGTTCTGTGATTGATTTCTTTGTTTATAAATGTTTATATTTTTAATTAAAAAAAATTTTTTTAAATGTTTATTCTTGAGAGGGAGAGAGTGTGAGCAGGGGAGGCACAGAGAGAGAGGGAGACACAGAATCTAAAGCAGGCTCCAGCTCTGAGCTGTCAGCATATAGCCCGATGTGAGGCTCAGACTCATAAACCATGAGATCATGACCTGAGCCAGAGTTGGATGCTTAACTGACTGAGCTACCCAGGCGCCCCTATAAATGTTTATTTTTGAGAGAGCACAAGCAGTGGAGGGGCAGAGAGAGGGGGGTACAGAGGATTCAAAGTCGGCTCTGCACTGAGAGCAGAGAGTCCCATGTGGGGCTCAAACTCAACGAACCATGAGATAGGACCTGAGCTGAAATTGGACACTTAACCGAGTGAACTACCCAGGCATCCCTTGTTCTATGATCTTTATAAAGGCAGTAGATTGCTGAAATCTTTTTTTTTTTTAATGTTTATTTATTTTTTCTTTTTCTGAGAGACAGTGTGAGCAAGGGAGGGGCAGAGAGAGAAGGAGATACAGAATCCAAAGCAGGCTCCAGGCTGTGAACTGTTAGCACAGAGC